TACAAATGATATACTACTGATGTAACTATAATATATACTAATATAACTTCTTATATGATTTACCACTAATATAACATTGATATATATGTGATATATACTTAATATGTCTCTAATTTACCACTGATATATCTTTGATATAACTATGATACCTACTGATATAACTACGCTATCTATTTTTTGATATATCTACTATTTTTTTTTCAAATGAAAATAATGGTGCAAAAAAAAAGAAATCTAACGTTATTGCATAAAAGATTGACGTGGACCATAGATGTAAAAAGAAAGAAGAAAAGGAAATGCAAGGGATCGAACCCTGTACCTCTTGCATGCAAAGTGAGCGCTCTACCATTTGAGCTACATCCCCAAGTTGTTTAATGAGTCCTTAGCTCGAATCTCCTTTATTTAAATGTATTATATGATGAAGTGAAATATCATATCAATGTGCTTACTTCAATCATGGAACATCGGATTCTTTGTTAGAGCAATTGTTAACTTATTATCTACATGGACCAAAGTTGCATCTTTTTGCAGTACAATTCTCATTGTTTTCAACAAATGTCTTAACCAAACTGCATGATACACACATGATGATGCAACAACATATCCTGCCTCACAAGTAGACTGTGTCACAATAGCCTGCTTTTTAGAACACTAGGTTAAAGCAATATTGCCACTAAAGAACACCAATCCACTTGTGTTTTTTCGATCATTAAGATATCTAGTCCAATCACTATCACAATAACCTTCAAGTTTGAATTCTCCAGATGATTAATAAAATAATTCATGATCCAGCATACCTTTGAGATAATGAAGAATTCTCTTTGCTACTTTCAAATGAGTAGTTGTAGGAGATTCCATAAACCGACTCACCAATCCAACACTAAGAAGAATATCATGTCTTGTGCATGTTAGATATCCCAAGCTCCCAATTTAAGCTTTTGAAATATGAAGGATCAACAACATCTTCATCTTCATATTTTGACAATTCCATTCCAATTTCGATTGAAGTTGCAATTGGTTTATAATTGAACATCTTGAATTTCTCAAAGATTTCTCTAGTGTATCGTTTTGAGAAATAAAAATCCCTCCATCTGATTGCTTCACCTCAATGCCAATATAATCTGACATAGGACCATTGTCTGTCATCTCAAATCCTTGGACCATTGTCTTCTTTAATTCGTCAAACATGTTTGGATAGTTTCCTGTAAAAATCAAGTCATCCACATATAGACAAATTACCATCAAAATATCTTCATGATCATTAGTCTTTGTATAAAGAGAATGCTCATGTGGGCATTTTAAATACCCATTGTCATGCAAATATTTGTCAATTATGATATTCAGTATCTTTGGAGCTTTCAACTCGTACATTATCTTTTTTAACTTTAGAACTTTATCCTCTTGTCCTTTCACCACATAACCAAAAGGTTGTTCTAAATATATTTCTTCTTCAAGATATCCATTCAGAAATGCCGATTTAACGTCAATCTAAAAAATCTTCAATCTACTATGAGCATCGAGTGCAATCAATAATCTTATGGTTTCTAAGCGATCAACATGAACAAATGCTTCATCGTAATCAATGCCTTTTATGTGAGAGTGACCTTTCGCAACTAATCTCGCTTTATGTCTCTCCACTTCTCCTCTTTCATTTCTCTTTGTCTTGAACACCCATTTGACACCTACTGATTTCTTCCCACTTGGAAGAGTAGAAAACTCCTACATTCTTCTTTATAGCCTTTATCTCGTCATCCATTGCAATCTTCCACTTTTTATCTTGTATAACTTCTTCAAAATTTAAAGGTTCACTGTCACCAAATAAACAAAAGAGAGTTAGATCATCAAAACTTTCACTTAATTCTTCAGTTTCATCATATATGTCCCGCAAACTTCTCATGCAATGAGCCCCTTCACTTGAACTTGATGTAGATGATGAAGGTGTGGTATGTACTAGTGTGATTGGTGATGAAGGTGGTGTTGATGGAGAAGCAATATCACTAGTTTCATCACTATCTTCCGGAAAAAATAGATACCTGTAGTCTTTTGGTTCATTACTCCTATTGCATGCAACTTATTCATTAAACACAACGTCTCTGCTTACCTGATCTTCTCTGTAGCAAGATTATAAAGCTGCTCTTAGAGCTTGCATTGTAGCTAAAAAAAAAATGTGCTTCTCACTTTTATCATCGAGCTTACTGCGCTTTTGATACGGTACATAGGCATAAACAATACTTTCAAATACTCTCAGGTGAGAGTAATGGATGATTTTCTTCCCATGCATGCTTCTTGCGGAGTTATTCCATACACTTATATTTATATGAGTCCATGGAAGAATCTAGATYCCTACAATAAATCTCATCTTATGAATCTATACATACATGGAACCCAATTAATCCATAGGAAAATGTTAAATACATGAACCTAAGTAATTCATCTTAAAAAACTATAATTCAGGTATAAATGTCATGTAACTAGGAAGGTACATGTTTAATTTCCAATGATTAGTTCATCTTTTAAGTTGTTTTTATTGTTGGTAATTGAGTATTTATTCTTTCTTTCTTCTTTTTTTTTTTTTGAGAAAAGTTAGTAATGGAGTATCATTAAACAGAAAATTAGGATTTAGAAAAAAAACTGTGAATTTGGCAGATTTTGTCACATTTTTAATTGGGTAGAGAGCAACCTATTGGTTTGTCTTTCATGACCAAAATACTAAATAAATAAATAAAAAAGGAGAAATTAAGGTACATGTGTAATTAATTATTTGGTACTACTCTCAAAGTCATGTGAAATTGTTGCATTTGTTATAGGCTGCATGGCTCCATCATGGCCCTGCAGAGAATACAATTATTTTGTTCCACAGTTAGTATAGATAAACCAAATTATTTTAGCTCACTTTTCAATGATACAGAAAATACAATTTAGTGGGCAATTGCTTTCTTTCCTCTTTGTTACCTCTTTTCCATTTGATATCAAGACAGGTTAGAAAATAAGAGAGAAAAGGAAAATAAGGTAATGATAACCCTAAATAATGAAATATTCAGGATGAACCAATGAACATCCAAGCTGTTATGGAGAACGAAAATGACCCGAAACGAGACAAGGAGTTGAAGTCTGATTGGGGAAGACTGGCCCGGGACATAACGGGCCGGCCAAAAGAGTGACCTAACGCCGGGGTAGAGAACGAGGAAAGCGACCAGAGGGAAGCCCACTGAGCCACGAAGGGCTCGGTCCCAACCCGGGGCTCGATCCCGACCCGGGGCTCGGCCCACGGCCCAGCCAGTGATCCCCCGTCTTCGATCGACGATGTCGCCCAGGCCCTGCAACGGTGAATTAGGGTTAACTACGGAATATTCTGGAACAACTTCACACTATAAGTATTGATCCAGCCTTAGAGGTATGTGGGAGAGAGTTAACTACATTTACGTTATTCTCTTGCTAACTTAAGCATCGGAGCCCGTGTGACTATAGTCACACCGGTTTAGCTCGACTTGATTTTGCAGGTACTAGTCCCGGATCAACAAGTTTGGTGGATGCGAGGTAGTGAACCGG